ATGTGAATGAAGACATACCCATTATCGTCCGTAGGTATGCTACAACAATAATATTTATTCAAAATTATAACATATGCATGTTATAACATCACTACAAAAATAGCTTTTTTGTTTCAACACTACTGGTGTCTTATCAAGTGATGGCGTCGATTTCAAAATAAAAGGTTTTAAGAGTTCAAAAACCAACGAAACCCCCTCAGTAGGGGAAACATTGTTATGTAATCTATCATGACCAATCAGAATACAAGTATGGTAATTCAAAATAAAATAAAATATATACCCTATGTACAATCTATTGGTGCATTAAATTTAAGATTAGAATTAATTAGATTTAAATTAGAAATCAATATAAATCGTTAAATTTAGAATTGGACATTTGTAATTTTTAATTTAACTGTGAAATTAAAACTTAATTTGTTATTTGATTTCTAATTAATGCTGCAACCCGGGCTTCACCAATTTTTTCTTCAATTATTGCCAGTACATCAGCAGTTAACTGGGAGAAAAGTAAGCCATATTGCTTGTCTGAGAAAAGGCCCTGCGATGAGAGATGAACCAATTCAGTTCTGATTACGGTCTTTAGGAGCTTCCTCAAAAGGGATAGAAGGCTAATATGCCGATAGTTGGAAGATTCAGACTGCTCACCTGAGATCTTAAGCAGGAAAGCAAGAGCCAACGTACAGTTTTGAGAGAACAGGAGCCAGTTCGGGAGCATACTTCTTAATGGTTATTACAGGGACACCATCGGGTCCACATGCTTTGTGGGGATCAAAGTTAGATATAGACCATGGAAGGGGTTATATGCATATCACGCAACAGAGAATTAGTTCTAAGTGAGAGGTTATGCAGGTACACTCCAAATGAGTCAAGAGTAGAGTTTGAGGAGAATTTACAGACAAACCATTCAGCTTTATCAGATGATAAAACCCCAGCTCGATTGAAGATAGGCTAATAGAGACCTTGCACTTATTTAGTACCCTCTTACAGAGACGCCAAACGAGGGCCAACGTTTTTAGGTGCCACATTTCCTCAGGGTCTTAGCTTCTTCGAGGACTCCACATTAGCTTCTTCGAGGACTCCACATTAGCTTCTTCGAGGACTTCACTCTTACATTTGTTACGAGTAATAACAAATAGGCCCCTGTTATTATGAGAGCTGTCACACTGGTATAACGGGAAATAGTGGTTCCTGTGGGTTATGTCGGCCGAGCATGCTGGATTACGGTTTCACCTGTTATTTCTAAGAAGGATTGAAAGCGTCCATGCCATTTTTGACCCAAGAAGAAACCTCGGTGGTGCAATTTTCATTTTGGAGGTTGAAGGTATCAGTTCAAGGGGCATCAGAAAGGAAATCCCGGAATGAGTCCCAAACAGCGTGCTGGTACCGGAAATAGGTCTTATGGATAGGGGGTTCTTGTTTAGCGAATGTTTGGAAGGAGGTATCAGTAGCTATCAGGGAGTGGTCCGAGTCACCAAGAGGATAGTATTATAAGGTTTGGCAACACTGAGGAGAGGAGGCAAGAAATAGAGAAAGCTTTTGCTAGGTTTGACTAGAGAAACGAGTAGGCAAGTCCACGATTTTTAAGGGTGGGGGGGGTAATTGTGCAATGGAAAAATTTAATGTCTGTATGTACCTTTAGAATGTTTCAGCTACATGTCGTGATGAGCATTAAAGTCATATGTGAGTCATTAATGTCACAGATGAAGAAGAGACTTGACGCAACGGAAATATGGTTCTACAGAAGGATGCTGAGGATACCATGGACGGAAAATGTGAGCAACGGTGAAGTTTTAGAGAAAATGGAAACAAAAAGGACACATCAGGAGGAGAGAGTCGAAATTTCTAAGGTACATAATGAGGAAAGAGGGCTTGGAAAATTCGATACTCACAAAACAGATTGAGAGCAGAAGAGACAGAGGAAAACAAAGCATAAGCCTCACACTTCACCCTAAACCTAATGAACTTGGCGGAACATGATCTAGGAAAGATAACAAAAGACAAAATTTATTATGACTTACAGAGGAGCGGAAATTGTGGAGAGCTATGATCGCCAACATCCGGAAGGGACACGGCCCAAAGAAGAAAAAGAAGGAAGAGGAGGAAGAGAAGGAGGAGGAGAAGAACAATAGCAAGAAGAAGAAGAACAACAAGAACAACAACAACAACAACAACAGCAACAACAGCAACAAAAAATGAATTTAAATTGACTGGATTTTTTTTAAAAAAAAAATAACTGATTAGCGCCATTTTGTAATCTTCTTTATTTAAAAATTAGGAAAGATAACAAAAGATAAAATTTATTATTACTTACAGAAGAGCGGAAAGTGTGGAGAGCCATGATCGCCAACATCCTTAAGGGACACGGCACAAAGAAGAAAAAGGAGGAGGAGGAGGAGGAGAAGTAGAAGAAGAAGGCGGGCTAGGGGATGAGGAGTCAGAGGAAGGAGGAGGAGGAGTATAAGAAGAAGGGGGAGCAGGGAGATGAAGAGCCAGAAGAAGAAAAAGAAGGAGGAGGAAGAAGAGGGGACAAGAAGAAGAAGAAGAAGAAGAAGAAGAAGAAGAAGAAGAACAGAAATTATGACCGTATCCCAAATAAAAGAAAAAAAACTAAAATTATTCAAAATCGTTTAATGACGAGGGTGTAACCTGTTCAGTAATAGGGAGAATAAAGACACGCCTTATTGACAGGACCCTCATTGCTTGTGACATTTTAACACAGACAGTTCGGCATAAATACCTTTCCTAATTTAGACCTAAAAGAATTAGGATCTTTAACGCGATTAGGGCACCCGGAGAGGCCTTTAGAAAATTCCTTTCATAAATATTTTCAAGGAGGTTAGCACAACTATCATACAATGCATATCAATTTAAACTAGGTACCTAAAAAAAAAAGCAATATCTAAGGTTTAAAATTAATTCTTTATAAATAAAATATTTCTTAAAGCTTTTCATTTAGTTTTAATTTCAAGTTAATGGATTAAATTTAATTAATTTTAATTAAATTAAATTTGCTGGATTTCAAAAACTAATTTAAATTGACTAGAAAGAATTTCTTTCTTTTCTTGCTAAAATAAATAATTGGCACCCTTTTTAGGTGTCTTTTATCACGATATAATTCTTTTTATTAAAAAAATGTTAAAAAATAAAATATACTTTTCTGAAACTTCAGGAATATTAGCTGATATAAAGTTTAATTAATCTGATTTGAAACAAATATTATTTACCTTAAATTTAAAATATCGCAATAATGCATTTATTAAACCGACACTAGCTGTGCTTTTAATCCAACATTAAATATCTTGACGTGTTGACAGTCTGATGACAGGTCTAATGTTGTTCTACGGGGACTTTATCTTTAAATCATAATTGAAGAAAATCATGCGAGAGACATTTTTTTATATAATTTTTAAGTACTCAGTAATTTAAAAAATTTAGGAAAATATTCTCTAATATTTTACTGAAGTTTAGAAATGTTGACATTAAATATACTCTAGTCAATACTCTTATTTTCTGATAAGGTCGGCTATGGTCTGGGCGATGCTTAAAAAATTGGCACATTTATACACACACAATTTACTTTTCTTTTTTTAAATATTGGCGTTTGGTTGCCTAGTTTTGTCTTACTACTTGCATCCCTGAAGATGATCTCTTTCTGTCATGAAGTAACAATATATATATATATATATATATATATATATATAATTCCAATTTAATTTTCCAACTTATATAAGATGATCTTATCCCTCTCTAACCTTCTAACTTTCTTTCCTGGTGCCTCACACGTTTCACATACGATTTCATTTTCAAGTCTCTTTTTCGCTGCTCTTTAGACTGTCATAGCTAAAACTACTCTCTCACGAGCCAAACGTTTTATGAATTGAGTTGGATCTTTTCTAATTGATCTCTTTAGCTCCAAGTTCAATTGATGATCTCTCTTCCACTTGTGACCTCCTGATCCAGTTTTCCTCTCTACTGTACACTCTTTTCTCACCATTCTCTTGATGCTTCCTGAATAGACTTTGAAGATAGAAGCCAGAATATGAATGTTGGTACCATTACTGAAGGCATGAATAATCCTTTTCCTCTCACCATCGCTCAGTTAGAAAGACATAGTGGGGCTGACACAAAACGATTTTAACCTTTTTATGTAAAATGGTGTCAAGATGGCTAAACATCTCATCTGAAAACCTGGAAAATAGAAACTAAAGTAGTTTAGTGTTTGTTTTTTCTGTTTTTGGATATTCAACATTTTGCGGGATGGAAAATTATACTGTCATACGATTTGGACAATTTTACTGTTAAACCCGCTAAATATATATATATATATATATATATATATATATATATATATATATCAAATATGTGGTGCAGTTCAATTTATATTACAATGAATCATTCATACTAAAAGTAGATTAGTAAAGTATCAAAAAAAAAAAAAACGTTTCGATTCACATTTAATTTTTTTTCGTCTCGGATGCTACCTGGATTTTACTAAAAACAAAATAATGTCCATGCCTGAGGATGACTGAATGTACAGTTGAAAGTACTTGCGTATTAAAAAAAAGACCTTATACAGCTTGTTTTTTAAAACAAGGATCATAACATTCACCGAGTAAAATGCAACTTTAAAATTTAAAGGATTTCGCCATTTTATATCATTAACTTTACTAATCTACTTTTTGTATGAATGAATCATTGTAATATATATATATATATATATATATATATATATATATATATATATGAACATTTGCGTGCGTGCGTGCGTATGTGTTTGTGTATGTGTGTGTGACTGGTTTGTATATGTTTTTCCAAAGCGAAGACATCATTTTACCCATACATTCCCCAACATATTTACATATGGATGAATCAACCTTATATAATTTATTCCCCACTTTCACCCCAAAAGACATTCCTCTCATCCCGCATGGACCTTCCCTTCCCCACCATCGTCTCTATTCAGAATTCTGTTTCCGCCCCACTTGCCTTTCGCTTATAAC